ACCATCTTACTGCCAGTCTCTGCAGCCTTTTTCTGCAGCTCTTTRGAAAAAGTGGACAGTCCTCTGGATTCCAAGTGAGATCCTGCTATCTATAAACAAGTCAGTAYTGGGCAACCCTGAAAACAGGACCACAGCTTAACTACAGCAATCCAAGTGCCAGCATTAGGAAGTCAGAGGTATGTTTTCAACACCCTCAATACTCATTTACTACGCTGGAGAACAAACTGCCAGAGATAACAGCAAGAGGCAGATTTACTCTGGTAAAAAGGGACTTGGAAAGGCTATATACTTGTCATAACATCTCATATTTAAAATTAAACAACTAAAACAGCTCAAAGCAGAGAAAGCTTTTACTCTGCAACTTTCTGGAGCATCAGCATGCMCGTTTAGATAGAATTCATTCATTTCAGGCATTGTCTTTTATCTAGCTATGACTTCCTTTCCAGAAGACTTCCAGTAATGTTTCTGGAAATTCCTAACTCCTGTTTGGAGCCAGAGAAATTCCTCTTTAGAGACAAGGCTGTTAGGTTCTCTAGGGCAGCGGGAATACTTTTTATCTCAGTATGTAGAACTTGTAAAAACATTTGTATTTCCCTGAAGTGTACCACCATTTAAAAGATCTTTGCCAAGAGTAAAATGACATTTTTTATCTTTATGTCTCTTATTTAAACCAGACTCTGAAGACACACTTTTCCTTATATCAACTCCATGACACTAAAAACTCTACTGCAGACAGAGCTCTTAGATTCTAAAATTAACTTCTACTACCTTATTCTGCTGCGATTGAAAATCAATGATAAAATTCTAATTTACAGACAAAATACCCTATAAATAGAAGTGTACAAAGAAAAACACTATGTAAATAGAAACTTCCCCTTTTTTCATAAGTAGGGACTTCTTCCTATGAAGAATCCTACAGCCAGCTAATTATAATAATATTCAACAAACCATTATCTCCAGAAGAATGCTTATTTCAACAGAACCTTGGTTCTATTACTGTCAAGTAYGCCTAATTAAATGTTCCAGTGCCTAACACAAGCCACATTTATTACGCTCATAGATGTTCAGAGCTCCTTCAGTATCTCAGCATTTTGAATCCAGACATCTGACGTGATGGAAAAAGGTAAGCAATAAAGTCAAACTGCTCTGATAATGATGCATTTACTAAACAAAAAGAATCAACGTGAGAGTTAAGCTATTTATTCTATTACTTAAGCCAATATACAGTAGTATCAACAGAATATTTGTACATTAATGCTTCTTTTATGACCACAGAAGTGAACGGCCATGATTTATTCTTATACTTCAACTTTAGATTCAAAGTTGATATTCTGYAGCTTAACGCACCAATGACTTTTTCAAAAGGTGTTCTTACAAACCACACCTTAAATTAAGAATTTGAAAGTAGTGTCATGTGTTTCTATTTAAGGTATAAAACCTCCCAAGCCTTATTTCAGAACACTTTACAAAGAAACAAAATTTATGAAATTTTAAGGCAATCATAGCTCTGTCCATCCCACTCCAATAGTCCTGCATCCCACAACTTTTTAATCACTCGACCATTTGGAGCTGAATTTGTTAAAATGTACCACTAAGAAATGTTACAATTTTAAAAGATCGTTGAAGTAAGACACCAAAAAGAGTAACAATCTTATTAATCCTTTGTCATGAAGCAACTGTATTGTGAGCTCAGTTTTACTAGACAACACAGATCCTATTCAGAAAACATAATCCCAGTAATGAGAAAAAGCAAACTGCTTTTTCTTCTAGTAAATCACCTACAATTTATTTGCCGGTGAACCTGTCAAGCCTCGGTGTTCACTAAAGCTAGGTTTTACAGCTCCTTGAAACCTCAAACCAAGCCATTTTGTTAAATACGCCACGTACAATAGCATAGTCCTTCGCTTAAGGAATTAAAAATCCAGAACTGACAAACCACCTAACTCAGCTCCAGACCTGGACTCCCTCACTTATACAGGGTGATTCCACATCACTGCCCCCAGCCATAGTAATGCATTATTATTTTATGGGCTACGTGAACAACAGCCCTGTGATCATCTTCCGMCCGGTCAGAAGCCCGGTGCTGGGAAGGCCCGGGAGCGCTAAGCACGGGAAGATCGGAGCTGCGCTCGCAGCGTCTCCGCACAGAACTGCTGCTGCGCCTCGTGTGCTCGCTAAACGGGCACGCCGTAGTCCCCGCAATGCCGCCGGGCTGTTCCCGCCTTAGGGAGCAGGGCAGTGAGGCGGTCGGTCCGCCGGGGGCCGAGCCCCCTCCCCGTTATGCAACGACGGCACCGCCCCTTCCCGGCGGGACGCGCCGAGCCGGCACCGCCCCGCGGCCACGTGACCGGGARCCAGCCGCCGCCATGTTGGACGGGGCGGGAAGCGCCGGGCAGCATCAGTCGCCGCATCCCTGTCCGCGCAGGGGGCTGGCGGGCGGCTGCCCCACGCCCTCCCCGCCACGGCGGGGCAGCGCGGAGTGACAGCGGAGCTGTGCCTTCACGGCGCGCGGAGGACCCGTGACCCACCCGTCCTCCCCAAACAAAGAGGGGTCACCCCCTTTCCCCGGGTGGCGACGGTGCTCGGTGGGTTGGACGCCGTGTCCAGCTCCGTTCTCCCTCCCGCCGGTCCTTCTGCCCTCGCCGTGCCCGGCTGTGCCCGTCTAACGGGGCAGGGGAAACTCCCCGCGCCCCTCCCGGGCGCGGCCATTGCCACTCGCGACGGGCATGGCGTGCCCCAGCACTTGGCGTGCGGCCCCGGGCTGGATGGGGCGCACCGCGGCCACCCGAGGGCTCCCGACAAGTAGAGCTGCTTGAGCTGCCCGACACCGAGCGGGTTGTTCCCAGAGATGAAGCCCAGCCCTTAKGACACGAGCCCAGCCGAATTAAATTTCAGAGAGGTCTTGATGAACCGTTCTGCTTCAGAAACGCAGACGGCACTCAAATTTCAGAGATTAAAGGAGCATAAAAGGCCTGTGGACACCAGACAGGATTTTAAATCRAGTTCATTTTAACGGCAGCATTTTCTCAGGGAATACTGGGAAATGATACTGGCTCCATCTACGCCAGCATTTCATCTGCGAGGGTCTCACCGTCCCCGTGGAACTGAAAATACTCAGCAGAAGCCCACTGATCCCTCTGTTCCCTGTCAGCCATTATTTCCCAGAGAGGCTGTGCTGTATTTACAATTAGCCATTAAGAAAGGGGGGAGGGGGAGGARAGCCTACAGAAGAGCTGCCGTTTCACTGCTGTGTCGACTACAGAGTATGTGATGTGCATGTTCAGCCAAGCTGACTCGGGTCTCTCAGTGCTCCCTGAGTAAACAAAACCACCACAACTTGGACAGCTGCTTTTATGCTGAAGCCAGAACACTGCACAAAACTGACTTCAATTCCAGTAGTTCACGAGAGCCTGCTCTCCCAACTGCATTTGGTGAGACACGCTCAGCAGCTACAACTGCTGTGCCAATTCCAGGCAGGAAGTATGTTTCCGGTTACTAGCACTTTCAACCCAGAAGGAACAGTGTCCAGTCTTGCCACTTCCTGCAATTCAATCTTCTCCCCGGAAAGATGGACTTTCAGGATTAATTTTGGGATAGAACTAGACTTGATACAGACCAATGAGCCAAAATGAACACTTTTTGGACTGATGCTCCAAATTCATTGGGATTTCAGTCCTGTAACATCTGCCCATTAGTTTACGGCCTGCCAAATAAGTTTTGGCCTTTAAATGATGTAAGCATTTACTTAATATATCTGAAAGCTCAGAAACGCATCCCTGCCTCAAGAGCACACCCCATCTTTACCRAACAGAGGAAGGACCCACTCCTTTTGTATGGCAGGCAATGTAGAAGTTTTCTGCAAGCGGCTGAAATGGATTGCACTGCACACAAACTTAGAAACAAAATCCAAAAACCTCAACCCCCCTACAGCTTTGCACCCTGTTCTGTCAAGGACCTCATGAGAATCTGATGGGTTCAGTGGAACAGTACCCATCTTCCAGCCCTTTCTTCCCCTTTCATGAGAGGCCATCTATAGACCAAAAACTGCAGAGCTGCATCAGGATGGCTTGGCTGCATAAACATGGGGCAGATTTTAAAGCCTATGCTGACCACGAGGGCAGAAGTGAATGACACTGGGGGAAAACCTCTGCTTAAATAGAGCTACTGCACAGGAGAATGCTTCCCTTATCATTCATTGCAAGTCCTCATCCCCAGTGACAGCCACCTCCTAGCAACAAGTGGCACATCTGCTTTCAAGATGAATTTTGCTGTCTCCTGATAGCCACCCAAAAAAATCAGTTTTCCTCTGCACAGAAGGTCCAGTTGTGACATTTTAATTCATTGCTTTAAAGGAATCATTACCACCCCTTCCCCAACATGTCAGCCATCTCACTGAACCTGGAATTTCAGAGAAMCAGGCTTAGAGTTGGTGACCTGACGGCTGCCCTGATTCTTGCCAAGTTCAAGCCTGTGTCTCATTTCGGGAAGGGGCAAGGGAGCAGGCTCCATACAAAAAATATTTCAACGTGTTCTATTGGTTTTAAGCCCCTAGAGAATACTCTCTTAGGCAATCTGGTCTYTATCCAGCATTCTTATTATTTCTATTTTTACAAGCTTAGTCAAGCTGTTGCTTGTACTCATGCATTGTACAGTGGCCTACAGTGTACGAGGCAGCCAGTTCAGTACTGTGCACTCTGCACTCCAGCACGGCAGAGTTCCAGAAAACAAGCAGTGCTCCAGAAAGCATGGCAGGCTAGAAAAATCAGCCCTTCCCCCTCCCCCCCCAAGAAATTCGTAGTAGACACTCCGCAGCAGGTTGTGGGGGCGGACGGGGCTGACACTGCCGTGGTAGGGGGAGGACGGGAGGGACCACATCCCAGTGGGGGGGATTCGGGGAAAGGCAAGCAGCCGTTCCTACGAAAACAGGAGGCAGCGATGGAAGAAGGACGAAACCACCCGCTGAGATGGCGCAGCAGGAAGAGCGCAGGACGCGGCGTTACCTGGGCTGGGTGGCGGCCGAAGCCCTCCTCCTCTTCCTCCTGGTCCCCGCACAGGGCCCTCCGCAGCCGCTCCAGGTGCTCCCGCAGCGTGACCCGCTGGTGGAAGGAGAAGGCCGGGTGCAGCGAGGCCATGGTGAAGAGCAGGAGCAGCTCCTCCTGCGCGCCGCAGCCCAGGCCCTGGGCGGCGGAGAGCCCGGCCTGCCCGTTCTCCGCGGCTCCGTCCATCACCACCACCACGTCCCCMTCCTCCTCCTCCTCCTCTTCCTCGTCCTCGGCCGGGGCCCGCCGTGCCGCCGGGCAGCTCTGCAGGATGGAGTCCACCTGGGGCAGGAGGCGGTGCAGGCGGCCGGCGGCCTCGCGGTTCTCGGAGCCCAGAAGGGCTAGGTAGACGATGAGCTTGGAGCGCACGGCGGGGTCGCGGAAGTCGCCGAGCTGCCCGGGGTCGCTGAGCCCGTTGGCCTTGGCCTCCGAGTCGCGGAGGCAGTGGTAGTCCTTGCGGGCCAGGTCTTCCAGGCAGGAGCCCAGGAATCGCAGCTCCAGCGGGTTGCACAGATCCAGCAGCCCCACCATGAACTCCAGGCGCTGCGCCGAGCCCAGCACCAACCCGAACCACTCGTACACCGTCTCCTTGTCGGTGCGGGCGGCCGC